TAACCACCTAAACCATCCAAACTCTGTAGCCTATATGCCACAGATTGTCCTCCCTCTTACGGATCATGTAGAGATTCAATACAAAATCCATCAATGCGGTTGTTGTGAAACGCGATCTACTAGTATGCTTGAACCCACTCTTCCGAAAAATATTGCCATGACACGGATAAATATGAGAATTCTATGTCATTGATATATGGACGGTATATAAGACTCAGTTAGATCTAACTACTATATTTGGGCGAATAGCCAAAGCATCGGAGTAAACTAGTCACCGTTAAAATGGTATCGGAAATGAGAACCATTTACACCATTAAGGCAAAGAAAGTTCACTGCCATTCTTGGCTTGGATTAAGCAGTTAACACAACATTGGAAAAGAAGTTAACATCACCGCCCAGCTACAACTAAATACAACATTGATAAAGGAGAATGGACATACGGGAAGGGCAGAAGAGTGGCAAACAGGGGAAACAAACAAGCAAAAAACAACAACAGTTAGGAATACGGGAAGTAAAAAGTACTGATACGAGACGGGAACGAACGAGACGATACTATTGCAAACATCGACAGAGAGGACCATAATCAAGACGTATATGAGCGCTGCATATCGACACATGATGCATGATGGAAGGGGTATATATAAACCTAGGTCAATGCTTGGACAGAAAACATGGTCCAACATCGAGGAAAGTCGTGCGAATAGGCCTGGTCATGCATAGATACGATACGATATAGTACACTTGATTCGAAATCAGATTATTGTTTGATAGTTGACATTGATAGATCTGCTACAAGGGGTGTTAGCGCGTGTGAATTGGAAGGGACTTGATGCGTCGTGAAACGTAGAATGTAAGAACATACCTACACGCCTCATCACATAACCATAAATATATAAAGGCTCAAGCCTCAGCCTCCGCAGCGGTCTCGCCCTCCTTGTCTTCGGCAATAATAGGCTGCTCGCCTGTGGCGACATTTTCTTTATCCCCTGCTGTGGTCTGCGTGAAGCATTAGGGCACAATCCACATTCTAGTCAACGACAACCGCACCTTGGAAACTGGTTTCCTGGATCCACTGCGGGAGGAGGGTTTAGCCTTCGAAGCAGGCTTTGTTGGCTTGGAAAGAGGCTTCGAGGCGGCATTCGACACGGGTTTCTCGGCGGCGGCGGACACGGGTTTAGCCTGGACAGACACGCGTCAGTACATATATACATTGACAATCGATAAAAGAAAAAAGATTGGGGGCCCATAGATACCTTTTTGCTAACAGGCTTATCAGCCTCGTCCTTTCCTTCGTTCTCAGGAACCTCAACCTTGTCCTTATCAGCCTCGCTCTCTATTTCGTCCGCTTTTCGTTTCTTCCCCTTTCCTTCCCCCTTTCTGGCACGTGGCTTTGCAAGTGCGAGGGCGGGCTTGGGGATGTCTTTTATCCGTGACGACCGACGGACTCCTTCCGCCGTGACAGTAGCGTCTGTTGTTGCTACAGGTGCTTTACGAGGCATTGTTATTGTGAGTGTGGTTGTAGTTGTGACTATTGATAAAAGCTAAGAGCAAGACGCGTGGGCCTGGATGGTGGGCGTGGGGGGTTATCGTTCTGGCTGGAACCTGTTGTTGCGGAGTTTGCACGCTTTTCAAGGTTTACCTGAAACACGTGTCACGTGATGCATATGTCCCTTATGGCGTTTTAGGTAAGCGCTCATTTGGTTTGGTTTTATTTGTCTTTAAAATGTGCGCACACAATGGCAATCATTCGACGTTTAGTGGAAGTTCAGGGGCATCAGATCTGGGAGAGGCTTTTGGTTCAGAATGGTGTATATGATTGTCATATGACTTGGCAATTTTGGGCCCAGATGAAGATGTTTCAGAACTTGAATACCTCTTAGGCTTTTAAACTCAGCTAGATTCCAATGACATCGATTATGAACGTGTCCTAACACCCCGTGCTCATGTTAAGTAACCTTCAAGTATAAAGCCGCCATGTACCAGGCTATGCAAAGCTGTTACGCACCTATATTGTCAGACTCGGGCTGTCACTATGTTAAACTTTTATGTGCCCCACACTAGGCCTGCGCCTGTCTCCAGCCGCAGCTTGATGACATACATCACATCTTCTAGGATTGCCAGTGTCTCCACGTCACAATGGCACCTCTGATTAATTCTATGATGTTCTAATTATGCTTGAACAAAGCCCTCCAGCTTGTGCCACTGATTTGCGTATCCATATTGACTTGTTAGACCTAAGTTGTCAGATTCTGGGTTCTGGGCTTGGATTATGGAACCCCTCACTACCACTACTTTTGTGGATACGATTTGCAACCAACCACGTCTGCTGGTGACGTCAAACCCATCTCTTACCAGAACAAACTGTTCAAGATTTTAGTTTTACTGAAAGTGTATCTACTATCGGCTTACTCTTTATCGTAGAACCCTGTCACGAAGATGCACATAGTCGCCATCGCTTTGTACAAGGTATCCTCTTTACCTCTCGTTTCCTATCCAAGCTCCCATAAATTCACTCCTCAGTCAGAATCATATTCTCAAAGAAAACCCTCCTGATATGATAAAGTAATCTATCTCCACCCAACCGTCACATGGCCTAACCATGTAGCCCTGATCTATGATCACTTCACTGACGGCATTTGAAGTCTGCTTCTACCGCCCTCAATAATATATAAAAAATGACTACTACTTTAGAAGACAACAAATCGACCGCCTCGTTAAGTCTAAGCTATTCAAAAAATATTGGCTATGTCTACCACGGAAACAACCACTTGTTCCCCTCCTCAGTCTTAGTCTCACACATTCCACGGGGCTCTTTGTCTTCTATTTTGCATCCTCAGCCGAAAGAGTGCAGTCTTCAACCACAACGACCTCCCATTCACCCTCGACACACATGGCCCCAAACGCCAATCCGTATCGGCACCCTGCTTGCTCCCTACATGCCGTCCAACGCCAATTCCCCTTCAGACTCTGAGGCCAAGTCCGGCAGGATAGAACGGCGATAATAGCGAGAAAACCCCATACCACAGGTCCAGATGACAAACTCACCCCTGAACAGGTTGAATGAGAAGGTTTACCCCGAACAGAAACATGTGGGTGCTGTGGGCTATGGGCCGGAATATACTAATAGGAATTGGGCGGTACGTCTCTTCCTCTTCTTTCCCTTACCTTACTAAGTCGCCTTTTGTAGACATTAGGTGATACATTAACAGGAGTTAAGGGGTTGATCGTTGGGAAAATTTAAGGTGAAGGCCTTGTTCTGGTGTGTAGTATTTTTCGTCTTTATTTCATTTTAATTTGCGCCAAGGTTATGCTGGGATTATTTTTCTGATCTTGGCCGTTCTTTTATTTCAGCGCGGTCATGAAAGACAAAGAGGAGAATTGAAGGGGAAGGAACGGGAAGAGGTATGTTGTCGTTCTAATCTCAACAGATACTTCTATAAACCTTTAATTTTCATATAAAGGCCGATGATTCTCTTTTTCAACAGGAATGCGACACCGACAACGGCGACGAGAAGGACAAAAACAATGCCCGACGTCGTTCTCTTCCTCTTCTACCAGTCCCGTCCCTACGCGCCGGCCAATTCCAAGAATACCACATCCAGCATGAGTACCACTGCCTCGACCGACTCCACATCCCCAGCCAGCAGCACCTTTCCGTCCCAAACGAGCTCCTCAGCCACCCCAAATATTACTCACTCGGACAGGGAGCACGCCAAGCTCTCGGACCCCATTGTCTCGTCCGAGTCTGGAGTCTTAAGGCATCCAAACCTGAGTCCTGTGGGATTTCAGGAATTTAAATTCTCGTATATACCCAATGTTGATCCGTTACAGCCTAAGAGGTTGGAGCCGCGCATGAGGGGGCACCATTTCAAAGGTAGCTTGGTTTTAGTTGACAATGTTTGCTGATGTTGAGGTGTCGTGTCGTGTTGTAATGATTGAGTTGTTGTAAATGTATAGTGTTTTTTAGTCCAGTTTTATTCATTTCCAAGACCCATCCGATACGTCGCAAAGCAAAAAGTGTGAATCCCCACTTTACGGCCAACCCAGCGCCCACACATTCTCGTCGAGTATCTCGAGCATTAACCTCGACTGTTAGAAAGTAAGACCTGATAATAAACTCAGTCTCGTATATGTGTATAACGGACTATGTATAAGATGCCTAATAATAAACTATAGTACATGTAAGCATACTGGAATGCAAAATAAAAGTAAAGCGCTCGTACATGCGTATAACGGATTGAGGTGTGGGGACGCTCTGGCTACAGTATATATACTGAGGATAGCAATTAGTGATAGGAACAAAGGAAATATAGAATAAGGGGAATATGAAACAAAGAGAACAACGAGACATGCGGCCACACCTTGGTTCCTTATGTGTCCGCGTGGTCCCTTCGTTATTTCGACCCTGCATACTCTTGTTCGTCCAAATATAGCAAGAGAGGTGTTATCCAACACCGACATCTAACCGCCATGTCCTTCAATTTTTTCAATGCTTCCGCCATATGTATTTGATTCATTTTTAAACACCATCATTTGCATGTCAGAAGGATTGACATCAGCTGCACAGACATGAGTTCTTTCTTATTCCCTTTGCAATACTAGATCATAATAATGTTGCTAGGTACATTAATTACTAGGTAAAGTAATAATGCATGCTAACTCACTTTAATATTTGCGCGCAGTAGCAAGATGATTGCTCCCTGATGATTGCATATATACTAGTTAATATTATCCATCTCCATTTTGTAAATGTAATATTGCGTGCTCGGTCATCTAACACCCTTTCGTTTCTTTCCTTCGCCCATTTCTCCCTCACAAGTGACATCACTCAGATAACTGGAAATAGTTATTGTAGCTGTTGATACACTCACTTCCCCAATGATCTGGCGTCTTACCTATCTTTGACCCGAGTTTGGCGGATCCAGTCTTTTGGTACCGACGATTTACGCAATCACTCATGCATGGTCAGGTTGATTGACTGTAGAGTTCGCCAAACATATGGGCGCTTGGTTTAGGGGTATAACGTTCGCTTAGCATTCAGTGATATGTTTGCGAACGGTCCTGGGTTCGATTCCCAGAGCGTCCAATATCTTTTTATATTAGACAGGGATTCCATGTTGATGCCCCAAGCGATCTGACTGACCTCTTATACTTTTATAAGTTCCTCACACAATTTTTTCGGTGCATTTTTTAATTGGTTTTTATACATGTCAGGCGTTCGTAAAATCAATCCATTCGTCCCTTTAGTGTTCGCGTGATCACTTTCTCGGGAGTGCTAGATGCACAGGGCAAATTAAGTGATATGTTCAATGTGCTTATAAAGAAAAAACTCACATGACATGCACAACTGCACCCCAGCCAGAGAATGCATCTCTGTCGATGGCATTCATCAAAGTTTGTGAAATGGTTTCAAACAGCTCCTCTGGTTCCTAACACAACATTTCTAATTAGACTATACGGACCGGCCGGTGATAACTGACACCACTCACCAAGTCCGGCTCCCATAATCCCTCTGCAATACCAAACAGCTCCGGGCTTGCTGTTCCACAAACGACAAAATCTTTTGCAAAATTGAGGCATCCAATGACGTCTGCAGCTGCAATAAAAGGCTGCGAGCCCTTAGATGGACTGGTTAAGCCTGCTACAACGGGCTCAATGAAGTATGGGCCAAATCTAGGAAAAGAATTCAGTATCGCGATATTTGCTACAGGAACTCAGTCACCCACCGGCGCTCGTATAATGTCGAGCTGACGAGATGTGCAAATGTTTCTGGTTCTATTTCGCGTTCTTCTTTAATGGTATACATGTTGACGCGGAAACGAAAGCGTTCTCGTCTGAGCATCGGCGTCAGATGAAAATATCAGATCAAACCTGAGAAGAATATGCGCACAGCGTAGCAACATCAGTCGCTAACCCCGCCATTCCAAGATATATTCTTTCGGTCACAGGGAATATCTGACCAATTGATAGGTATCCGACACCATTAAAGACTTGGGAGGTTGAGCGATACACACCTTCTCAAAGTTCGTCGCAACAGTCAAGGCCTGATTTCCTAGTCTCATATCTGAAGCAATGGCAACACAGTTCTTTCCAACCATGGCTACCACCGACCCTCCATTGAGTTCCATGATCGACTGTGTACAGATTCATCGTTGCGCGACAGTTAATGGGACGAGAGAGGTTGAGGAGTTGGAGCATTTATAAGCTAAAGAAATCAACTTCAAGGACTACAGTAAGACGCACCATTTTGGACAATTGACAAGTTACAAAGACCTAATAAAATTAGAGTATGACCGTTGAGAGCAAATTGGATAGCTTTAAGAGTGAAGTCTGACGCGTCCACTCTTGTTGTGACAAGGTCGTGACTGTGACTGTGAGGTGTACGCGTGCGGCGTCTCTCCCAGATAGCCAATAAAACATGTCAACCTAAGCGCTCGTTGGCTATCATTAGGTGGTACTTCCAATAATTTCATAAACTCTAAAGCTGTTTTAGCATAAAATCTTGTTAGCCTGCATATAGTCCATACTGAACGGACCTTACCTCCAAGGGATACAAGCAGTCCCCAGAGACGGTAATGGTGTGTAGTTGGTAGTTGTGTAATAGGTCTGCCTGGTCTCATACCGCAAGTCAAAGTTGAGTCAAAGTTGTTGCTGGAAGTATTACCATGTCATCGACATCCCTCGACGGGAGTTATAATGTTACACCTTTGCCCAGGCACCTGACATCCGACGACGCCAGTCTCCGTGAACTTCTTGGGCTATAATCATAGTTCAGACATTTTAAAGCTTGGTCAAGGTAATGACGATACACTTCACCTCAAGAACCGTCAGGCTGTCTCAGGTCGATTTCCTTTACCTCTGCTTGACCAGCGCATCGGGGCCCCGCAGGGCGAGACAATCTTTATAATGGCGGTATCTGGACAGACTGATAATACGTATTTGACACTGTGACTTGGTAGATCACCATTGCAAAGAAGTATTATGAACTATCTCATCTCCCAATACATCCTCTACTAATGCTAAATCAACTCCCCGAAAACTAGGTTAGTTTCCGAGGGAATATCAATCATATCAATAGTCTGGCGACGCATTGAAATGGTTCTGATTTGTTGCCTTCGGTATGGTACTGGCGGTCTCGTCATTACTAATGTACTATTTATCGTGATATGGGAGCGGGTGATGAGGGGAACAAAAGACCACAGGATCGCTTTTGAAGTAAACTTAACTTAGGATAACAGGGTTGGTGACATCTGTAAATTCCTCCATTATTGGCCGCCAACCAATTATAAAACCAAAATCGATTGTGGAGGAAGTGGAGTATTTTTGGCCAATTTCTGTTTAGATCCCGAGTCAACAATCACACGCCACCAACACACCCGACCTGCCAACATGGAATAATGGGTTATCTATTCATCTGTTCCGCGAACGCCTCGACTAATATCCTCATATTCTCCTCTTCAACTTCCATTTCAGCTAATTTCTTCTCAAGTTCCACCATTCTGTGTTGAACTTCAGGATTATCCTCTGTAAGGGGGGTTGCAACCAACAGTCTCTCGGCAAGCTGCCTTGCGAGCCGCTCACTCTTCAACTCCCCTTCAAGGACAATGATGCGTTGACGCAATGCACCCTCCAGTCTCAATCGTTCCATTTCATCTTCGGTGATTTTCATCATCACCTCGCGTATGACATTAGATGCTTTGCAAAGCGTCTCCGAATCCTTTGGCCGATGCAAGAAGTTAGAAGTGCCCGGAGCCTCCTCGCACTCCACAATGACAACCTCGTCATCATCGGTGTCATCGGCTTGCAACACGCCGCGGGGCGGATCACGTTCCGGTGCTCCCTTCGGCGAGCTATGACTAGCGGTTACTGGCTGGAAGGTGGCAGCGGTGGGCAGCATGGTTAGGAAGGGTCGTGTGGCAGTTACTTGAGAAGAGGACGGCAGTGAGAACGGAGTAATTGAGGATGTCCCAGCGGTAAGAAGGTGCCTCTTTTTCGACTTTGAACTAGAAATGAGCGCTGAACCTTTGCTAAGGATAGGACTCGGTCTGGAACGCTTAGAAGGCGATTCGATTTCCTCAACGTCGCCACCGTCATGTTTGTGGTTTACACTGTTCGTTCATCAGCGGATCTGGAGCTATATCAACTGTCACCCCTGCTTACTTATCGACACCTAGGTTCACGGCCGAGCTGTTATATTGTTTAAATGAGAACCTAACCAGGCCTATTTACTAAGAAGCTTACATTTGCATCCCCTTCAATGCTGACTTAATGTCATCCGTCGCTTTATTTGAAATATCAGTTAAACGTTGGCGTATCTGGCATTTATGTCTGGGCTCAACGAACTCGAACACGTAGTGGCGAATCTCAACAGTACTTACAGTCTTATCTCCGCTTAACCCCTTCACAAATATTACATTGCTGCCATCAATCTCTCTTATAATTTCAACGTTTCTTGCGGCATGCGCTAGTAACAATTTGCGCAAATGAGCTTTGACAATGTATTGGTACACGTCGCTGCTAACAGTTCCCATGCTGTACGAGTTATCTGCGGAATACTCTATCGCCACTGCCTCGAAATTATATTGTTTTCGAGTCAGTTGGAGCAGCGGTTTTTTTGGTGAACTTGAAAGCCTGGCACCATTCAAGATGTACAAGAGGCAGACGGGCCAGAAACACAGGTCCTCAGCCAGTTTGGAAGTCGTGCTAAATCAACACAAGGAGAAAGCTCCCCACGCGTCTCAAGAAGCAAATTTCATCTTACGTCGAATACTGAATGCATGACGTGTTTAATTTATTTGAATTTATGTAATAGAACATAGAGATCAGGAAAGCAATAACGGCAAATTCTCCTGTGTATACTATGCGAATGGTAGTGAAGATAACAATATTTTAACGAGAGAATGAAAAGTTGTTCTTCAACGCTTCGACCATCCGGGATTGTCAAGCCTGAGAAACTAATAAAGGCGTCGAGTAGACTGTGCCCAATAAATGGTTCTTTCATCTCGTGCCTAATTTCTTCTATAATTCCCTCTTTCTTTGAATGCTCTTTGAGCGCAGCCTTGAGTTGTTTCTGTAGCCCTAAGCCTTCGTCACTCGTCTTTTGCTGAATTTCTTCTACAGCTGCGTCGGCCTTCGAACGCTTTGCGAGTGCAGTCTGAAGCTGTTCCTGTAGTCCTGAGATTTCTTCACTCATATATTGCCGATTTCCTACCACTTCCAGGTCGCTTTTAGCAAGCCGGGACTTCAACTCCACGACTTCCGCGCGTCATTGAGCTTGCGTCTTTTATTATCGAGAAGACCCAAGTCCGGCTGGGAGCTTTTAATTTCCTCAAATGTGTCACATCCTTCATTCCTTTCTGGCGCGACTCAGGAAACATCTCATAAAAGAGCTCTGAAGCGCTTGAGGTGGACTTCTTTGGAAGAGTACTTGTTCCAGGTTGACGGCCAGAGATGGGAGGCGACTCGGCGGCGTGTCTTGCGAGGCGAATTAGGAATTCGAAGTGATGGTAGAAAATGAGGTTGGACGTGCTTGTTCAAGCCAAGTCTGTTGGTAACCCTGAAAACAACGGTAGACTGAGCATTTGAGTTGTTCTGCTTTTGCATGCCCACTACGTACGCTTTGAGGCTCGGCTCGACTGAGTCCGGAAGTGCTGTGGGTCCACGAAGTAATTGAACACCTATATATTGTCAGTAAAACATCACGTCAAAGTTAAAGCTTACAAGCCAGTTTTCATTAGTTATTTTGCTGGTTATGCAATGCAACATGAAACGCTTCAAGTGCCTGAAAGTAACCGGACCAACGATCAACACATCAAGCAGAAAGCATAGACAGCAGGTATCTCACAATATGGTTTATGGCTAGAGAATAGGTAAAACATGGCATTACTGAGCGAACTTGATTGTATACAGGGCTGACAGGTGATGCATTGACTGGTCATGCTCAAGTCATACCTTGGCTAATGATAATGGTACCCCTCCATTTCTTGAGCCATTGTCACACATATTAATGGTATTTTTTTTGTTTCGTTTTGTAGCTATAGAGTATCTTGAAAAATAAAGGTATCGTAACGCATATAAAGCTGTCTA